GAGGAGGAGGAGGAGGAGAGCAAGCAAAAGGGCCAGAGGTCTCTTGGATGTTTCTCGAAGCCTCTTGGGGTATCTCTTGCGCGTCGTGGGACGTTTTGGGTGTCTCTTGGCGGTCGTGGGGGGCTCTTCGTCGTCTTGGGTGCCTCGGGGGGGCCTTCTGGGGCCGCTTGGGATCCTTTTGGGGGCCTCCTGGGGGCCCTCCTGGGGGCCTCTTGGGGCCATCTTGGGGCCATCTTGGGACCTCTTGGGGCCTCCTGGGCGCGTCTTGGGGCCATCTTGGAAGAGATCGATCGAACAAGAGGGGAGCTTTAATCAGCGCCCCCCCCAAGATGCCGAAATGGGGCCAACACTCCAGTAAACCAATGATTTTGGCTTCCTCGCCGAGGCCGTTTTGGACGCTCCGGCATCTCGCGGAAGCCCCATTTGTCCAGGTCCACGGGAGGGGGTAGGGGGAGGGGCGAACCACTCCCCGAAGGGGAAGAAGGCGGGGTGGAAGAGGAAACTCCCTAAACCACCGACGCCCAGAGGGCTGGTGGGATTGCAGTTCCACTTCCATTTCGATGCACCCCTCACACGTTTCATGTCCCCATATGGGAACTCCATCCAAGGCCCCAGTGGCAGCGCCCGCATGCGGTTCCACCCTTATTTCCACGAACCCCTCACACGTGCCATGGCCCCATAGGGAGCTCCACCCAAGGCCCCAGTGGCAGCGTCCGCATGGCGGTCCCGCCACACTTCGACGTACCCTTTACGCGCGTCGTGGCCGCATAAGAAGATCCAACGACTGCATCTGGTTGGGCCCTTCGCCAGGCAATTTTCCAAATCAAAGCCCGAATATCGAGCTTAGTTTTGGAGGCCGACCCCGAACAGCGCGTGCACTTCTAACCACATTCGTCAAACATGTGACTGGTCTGAAAGGGACGAGCTGTACTGCGGGCGGGATGCGAGGGAGGACGGTTGAGGACAAGGATGAGGAACATCATTCTCCCTAGTCTCTGCCTCACGAGGAAGGCGTGGCGCTCGATGTCCAGGATGCGATGTCGATCAGTGCTTGATCTCCTGACGTCATTCGCCATCGCACTCACGATGTCGTCCACGATGGTGTTACCGACTGCATGCCAACGTGGTGCACGACCATCCTTATCAGACAGATAAGATTGCACAACATCAACCGCAATGCCATCAACGTTCCGTTCTTTTTATACAAGCTGAGCTGCATCTGAATACACATGTCGGCATCCTCTCCTCCCGGCTCGTCCTGCTTGCGCTGTAACCATCCTTCCCTCGCGTTCTCACAGTCTGTCAGGTACCTAGTAATCGGCCAAATTTTGCCCCAGATCAAGTGTCTCAAAGAGGATCAGCTGTGGTCGCATAGACTCGCGAGGCCGCAGCTTGAGTTTGTGGTGAGCAACCAGGCCCTCGCCCAGCTCATGAACGTGGAGATCCGCATGAACAACCCGCGACACGAGCACGACATCGGCAGAATGAGGGAAAGCTCCTTCCACCTGTGTCCGCATTTCTTTGATCACAACGGTGGACTTTTTGCTTGTCATGATGGGCGCCCCCGCGAATACAGCGCTTTAGCGTATAGAGTGTGCAGTTCGGTCCTGGATCAAAAGGCTGACATTGACAAACAGAGTGTGGGCGATGTTGCCGCCCTCATTTCAAACGGCTCCGCCGTTCAGGTTCTCTCAGATTGTGGTTACGACGGTCAAAACGGAGCCGCGGCTGGCGTGGTTATGACGTACACATATGATGGTGATGAGTGGGTGCCAGACGTGCGAGGAAACAAAGGTAAATTCTTTGAGAGTGTGCTTTCCGCTTTTCATGCAGTGCTCGTGGCCGCGGATGTCGCTTCACAGTTGGCGGCTCAAATCGGCCAGCATTGTATGACTATCGAAATGCTCGGTGTAACCAAAAGCCAACGCACGAGATTTCATTGAGTAGCTCATTTAAAGAAATTTTTCACGTCTGTCAAAACATAACTGATGTCATGCAGTGATCACGGATTGTTTAATCAACCGGACCAAGGGAATTGCTACGAAACAACGCCCACTGTGTCAGCCAGAAAACTTTCAGCCTTACCCGAAGAACCGACGGCTTCCGTCCTGCAAGTCCTCCTGTTATGTGAGGCTGCTTCTGAGGTTCCGAACATGATGCAAGCACGACAATCCCCAGGGCTTTTCGCCTCATGCGTGGGTCCGGCGCAGCAGCTCCTCCCGATGCGTTTCTGCATGTGATTGTGGGGTGTGCATCTGTCCCAACAAGACAAGACAATAGCCCCACGACCTCCAATCCTGAACTGTGACAGTCAGCATGGATTTGAGGACCGTGGAGTTGTGGGAAACCGAGGATATATATATATATATATATATATATATATACATACACACATGCATATCGTAAACATAACCTTTTTGGGTCAAGAAGTGTAATGGTAGCGGAGCTGGCTACGGCCAGTTCCTGCTAAGGCGCCCCTCCTTTCGGGCGCTGGACGCCCGCGCGATCGCAGCGGACCTCGGGCAGGAGGATCCGCGGAAACAGCATCGAACAGGACATCGCGTTGAGGAGCGAAAAGCACAACTACGACATCTACGTGATCCACAGCACGACCGACGCGGTCAACAGCAGAAGGCAGCACGAGAAACACAATTACGATATCTGCGTGATCAAAAAAACACGACCGACGTGGTCTACAGCAGAAGGCAGCACGGGAAGCGCAGCTTCGATATCTGCGTGATCGGAGACGACAGAGACAGGGGCAGAAGGGCAAGATTCGGCGTTGAAATTACCGAAGTTCGACGCGCTCGAGGAGAACTGGATGGAGTGGTCGTTCGTGACGCGGGTTTTCCTGGGTGGACAGACGGCGTAGGCGCATCTCTTGCTGGGGGCCGCAGAACAGCAGGGGGGTCCGGACATCTGCATGGCGGAGGCGCTGCATAGACTCGGCGGGGAAGGCGTGACGGCCAACGAGAAGATGTTCTGTTCACTTGTGATGACGGTGAAGGGTGGCGCTCAGATATTGACCAGGAGCGCAGTGAACCAGGGCGGCGCACTGGCCTGGCGGGCGCTGGCCAAGCGCAGCGAGCCAGCCACGTCTGTCAGGGCGCATGGCATCATGGCGAGCGTGCCTAATGTGAAGCAGTTCCCTGGGGCGGTGGCGGAGTTCGAGGCGCCGCGCTCATAGCGGGGGCGCGGCGTCAGACGATGCGAGGCGGAGTCGGGGGAAGTGTTCAACGCAGGCGTGAAGAAGAGCACCTTCTTACAGAAGGCGCCGCGCAATATGCGAGCGGAGCTGCAGGTGCAGAGTGAGAGATGCTACGACGAGCTGGTCAGCGCGACGATTCAGCACTTGCAAGCCGCAGCGGTCTACGAGGGCGGCTACCAGCGCAGCCAGACTGCGCCGAGCGGCTCTGGCGCAGGAAGGTGCCGCGGCAGCGCAGCGATGGGGATGGGCGCGCTGACGAGGCGGCGCGGCTGCAAGGGCGACCAGAAAGGCAAGGGGAAAGGCAGGGGAGGTCAGTGGGGCAAAGGCAAAGGCTACGACGGTGAAGGCAGGAGCCGCGGCGCAGATCCGATGGCGGGGGCAGCGGCGACGAATCTGCCCTTTTGGGGCATGGCGGGCGCGCGAACCCGACTGCGCTGCAATTGCGGCGGACGGGGCCGCTTCGCGCGGGTTGGCACGGGGGCGGCAGGGGCGCGAAGAGACAGGAAGGCGATGGCAAGGGCAATGATAGCGCCGTGAGCGAGGTCACCAGCGACGGCTGGATCCAGGTCGGCACGTCGGGGCCGGGCAGCCTTGCGCCCTCGGCGATCGGACCCGCAGCGTGCCGGACTGGAGCTCAAGGACCGCGTCGGCCTGGAGTCCGAGCCATCATGCGTCAGGAGGCGACCTGCGAGAACAAGTGGGGGCGAGCGCGCGAGAGCGAGTGGGGGAGAGGATGCATCCTCGCGATCACGACGACGGAGCACGGGAAGGTGCACGGCGCGTCTTCAGAGGGCGTCTGGAACACCCTGTGGACGTTGTTGGACAACTGCGCGGGCGAGCGCGCCAACGGTCGAGGCGACTTCCCACGCGCGCCGATCGCGCCGAGTAAGAATCCGAACCTGACGGTCGCTGACGGTTGCGCCCTACAGCCTTGCGGCTCGAAGACGGTGACGCCGCGCGTCGCGGGAAGCAGGAATCTCACCATGGAGTTCCACCTCGCGGGCGCGAAGCAGCCCGTCATGGGCGCTGGGAAGCTCTGCGGCCGCGCCCCCGCCAGGGTGGCCTGGCGCGGCGGAATGGGAGGACTGTCGAAGCACGAGGCGGCGGGCCTGGCCAAGCCGATGAAGGTCAACAAAACCACTGCGCGCTGGAGTGCCGGGCGAAGGTCCACGACTACATGTGGGGGGTTCGCGCGGAGATGACGCTGCTGGCGCCTGTCGGGGCGGCGGCCGCGGCGGCGAGACCTGGTTGTGGGGGTGGCGGAAGCGCGGCGCAGCGGGCACATGGGGGTCGCCAGCGTCAGCAGCGGGGCCGGCGCGACCAGCGCCGGCGGCGCCGCGACCCGCGGCGGACGCGCAACAAGACGCGCCAGAGGAAGGACCAGCAGCAGCGCCAGAAGATCGGGGGCGCGCGGGGCCAGAGACGACGGCGCGCGGACCACGTGGGCTACGGGGGCCAAGCGCGGAGGAGATCGAGAGGCGCGAGCTGGCGCGCTGCTGTGCTGAACCCCGGCGCGAGATCCGCGCGGGGGTGAAGGCCGGCGACGCTGCGCGCAGGAAGATGGCCGGGCGCGACGAGATCATCCCGTTGCTGCGCTTTGATAGCGGCCAGGCAGGCGTTGAGGGGGCCCAGTCAACTTCGAGTTCGTCGTGGGCAGTGGCGCCGGCGCTTCCGCGGGTGGCATCTGGAGCTCAGCCATCGCCCAGGAGGAACGAGGCGACCTCCACGCCGTGGCCTCGGCAGTCTCGTGGACCGCAGGGCCGGGCCACTCGCGCGTCGCGCCGCAATCGGGGGCCGCGGCGGAGTTCGCGCTCATCGCAGCGGCGAGGGCCAGGGCGCTCAAGGATGGCATCTGCGAGGCGACCCCGCCGCGGCAGTCCGGGAGGTTCGATGGCCGGGCGAACGGCGGAGCTGAGAGGGACACCCGGGCGATCAGGAAGCAGGTCAGGGAACGGATGCTGGCGGTCTCAGACAAGCTGAAGCACCGCCTTTTGTCCGATTCGGCGTCTCCCGCCCGGGCGCTTCGCCGCGCCGCGCGGCTGCGCAATCGACGCGCGGCGCGCGAGGGCGCCGACGCGGCCCCGCGCGGGGGGGCGCGCGCTCGAGAACCAGAGGCCGATCGCGGCGATAGGCGAAGCGGTGGTGTGCGGGAGGCCAGGGGCGCAGATCAACACGCTAGAGTTCCCGCGGCTGGAGGGCGTCTGACTAGGCAGAGACGCGCGGGCGAACGAGCGCCTGATTGGCGCGCCGACGGGGGCGCGCAGGACCAGAGCGGTAAGAAGGAAGATGGAGAGCAGGCGATGCGACGAGGAGTTGTTTGAGAAGATGAAGTGGGCCCCGTGGGGGCCGACGCCGCCGGCGAGAGGGCGCCCGCCGACGCGGCGTTTGGCGCAGAAGCCGATCCTGCTGGGACCGCTACCGCGACAGCGAGATCTACGGGGCCCGGGGGCAGCAGCGGCGGCATCGGCGCCGCCGCGCGGAGAGCAAGCGCCGCCAGCGCAGCCGGCGTCGGCGGCAGCGGCAGCGACGGCTCAATTTGACGACATCGGCATGGGCAGGGACAGGATGAAGAAGAGGCCGGGGGCGCAGAACGCAGGGCCCTCTACGCCGAGAGCCGCGCCACCGCGACCAGGAGGAACGCCGCTGCCAGAGAGGGACCGGGAACAGAGATCATGAATGAGACGGAAGAGGAGAAGTGAAGGAGCCCCGAGTGGCAGCCGCCAGCGCAGCCGAGGAGCCGACGGTGAAGACGGAGGTAGGCCCGCGCGCTGGAGGGCGACTTCCCGGAGGCCAGGAAGGGGCACCTCGAGAAGGTCGCAGGCGACGGGGGCGGGGGTCGCGAAGGTGATCCCGATCAGCGAGACGACGTCCAGGATCTCGGCTGGCAAGAGGGCGGGCGCCCACCAGACAGATGGCGCGAGGAAGAGCAGGTGGACCGCGAGGGTTTCCGAGTAGCGAACATGCGTGCGCGAGAACTTTGTGGCGACGACGGCGCCGCTGCCGCGCCTGAAGGCGACGATAGTCAACGCGGAGATCCACGACCGCGTCGTGGCGCTCGACGATTGCAGCGGTGCGTTCTACCAGGCGCCGCTGACGGAGCATCGCATCTTCCTCGACCCGCCACCTGAGGCTGAAGTGCTGGATGGACATGTTTAGGAAGCTTTGCGCGCGTTCCCAGTGCCGAAGTGCGCGCCGAAGGCCTGGGGGGGCCAGGGCGCGGGGGCCTTGGATGGGGTGGGCCTAGAGAGGGGGCGCCACGACGGGCGTCTCTGCATGAGGGCGCAGGACAAGGCCGAGGCGGGCAGGCGACTTTCAGCTGACGGGGCCGCGCGAGTCAGTTGACGAGCCCTTGACCGATGTGGACCACATGCTGAAGCTGTCGGATGCGGCGAAGGTGCGCAAGGACGGCCACGAGGCGACGCTCTTGAAAATTCACGTGGAGAAGAGGATCTTGGCGGTAGCTCCTTCGGCGAGAAGTCCTCGCTGATGGGCGACGTCGCGAAGGAGCTTGGGCCGGGGGGCGCGGGGCCCTCTGCATTGCCGGCGACCGAGGCCGACGCGAAGATGAAGGATGATGACGTGAAGTTGGGCGCGGTGGGGGCCACAGTCGGCGCCGTGCCTGCGCGGGCAAGCTCCGGCCGGTCAGCCGCAGACCTGGCGCCCAGCATGGGTCTGGCGTTCCCAGTCGGGGGGTGGGGGGCCAGCGGGAGCAGGCCTGCGACGCTTTAAGAAGATGCCACGGTGCCTGGTAGGCGCGAAGGGCCTCGAGATGAAGCTGATCCCGGGCAGGAACGAGGCCCCCGTGCAGCGCGCGGTCGACGCGGGCTGGGCCGACGACAGGACAGACGGGGTATCTACGAGCGGTGGAGTGCTGCAGTACTACGGGTGCACGGTGCTGTCATGGTCGAGGCGCCGAGGATGCGCGGCGCGAAGTTCGACGGAGAGTGGGTGGTATGCGCTTGGTTCAGGAGCTGCGCGGGCGCTGGGCCTGGCATCGGTGCTCGCGGAGTGGGGCGAGCCGGCGGCGCCGCGAATGCGGGGCGACAGAGGCAGCGCGTTGCGCGTAGTCAAGAAGCGGGGACTTGGCATGATAGTGCACGTGGAGATCAGGTTCCAGGCGCTGCGGCAACTGGGGGAACAGCGCCGCCTCACTTTCGACAGGGTCAAGACGGATGACGACGAGAGCGACATGCTCACGAAGCCCACGTCCAAGGAGAAGCTCGTTCAGCGAGATGGTTGGCTTGGCGAGGCTTGATGCACCGCCCCCCAAAGCGGTCGGACCGGTGGAAAGCAGCAGAGGCTTGGGCCAGCAAGGGGGCGGCTAGAGCAGCAGCTAGGAGGAGTAGAACGAGAAGTAGGAATCAGTTTCTAGGGTGCGCGGTGCCGAAGGGCGCCGCCGAACCAGTTCCAGGCCCTGGCCCCAGTGCGACCCGGCCGCCTCGAGGCCTCGAGGGCGCGTTGAAGGGGCATCGAGGAGAGAGGGAAGTATATCGTATCCATAAAAGTTGCCGCGTGCGTTCTCGTCCGCGCTGCTTGCGTCGAACCCCTCATCCAAAAATGGTCGACCTGAACATGTTGGCCCCCTGCCGCTGGAAGCATTGAACCACTCGCCTCATATATAACCGATCCCCAATGCAGCTGCGCGGCCACGGTCGATGTATAATGAAGTCCCCGCGCTTTCTCGACAGCACGTGCGCTTCGCGGACTTGCGCATTTTTTCTTCCGGTCTGTCTTTGCGCGCAGACAGCGTCGCGCGACGTACGCGAGTCCACGCGCCGTTGGTGGCAGTGGTCAAGACCGCCCCGCTAGTCTCCATCTCTCTGCGTGAATCGCGCTAAGTTGATGCGGTAATGTTCTTAACGAGAACGCACTTACCCGTCGAAATATTCGGCCGCCGGGGCCCAGTGCGCTTCCGTGGCAGCTTCGCGCACTTGCACCCGGGCGCCATCAAATGCGGTCAAAGGCTTGATGCCCGTGAAATTTTCGCCAGGGAAGTGCCGCTCATAATCTGCCCGGGGCATGTCCCACCCAGGCGGACCCGTCGGAGTCCAGCGAGCAGATGCGTGGGAATCGCAGAAAGTGGGCCGCGTGCGTGGCGATGCCGCAGCTCTGGCGAACGCTTCTGCTACTTAGACGAAGTGCGATTCCAAGCTTGTCGCACTGTCGGTCTGATCTCGTCGACCGCGCCGATGTTGCAGCCGCGAGCAACGGCTCCATGGGCAAACTTTTGGTGGGTTCTGCTCGGGCGTTTGCATTGCCGGCAACGTTGGGAGACGGCGACCCTCTGCCCAGACCTGACATGGGGCTCTGAGCTTACGCGATACTGAATAAGCTATAGGCCGCGCCCACCATGCACATGAACACCGCAGCTTCCTCTTGCCTGGCATCCTAGGCTGACGACCTCCTCCACGCCCTTGTGGAACTTCATATTGTCTCGTGCCTGTAAACGCGCGCGTTGACCCGTTTGACGCACTGACTCCGAACACGCTTCTGGCCAATTCGCAGGTCACTTCCGAGATATGTACAGGCACGAGCGGTCGCTATACGAACCCATTTCTTGCGCAGGGCTCTCACAATAAACGCCGCATCTGGGTGATACGACCATGCTACAACCAACTTGCTTGCGATCCGAAGCCCTGACTTTCTAAAACCAGCGGCGGCCTGATAACTGCGCCGCATTAAATGTCCCCCTCCGGTCTGCCGAGATCTTCCCGTCGCCCGCGGCAGATCGTCGATCCATAACCGATGATTGCACCGAACGTGGGCTTGAGGCGCTCTTTGTGCCACATAGTAAGTCCTGGTTCGTGCAAATCGGGTGCCGCAGTGTAGCCCGTGGATGATCGCTCTTCTGACCTTTAATGAACAAGAACCAGCGAAATTTGATTCAACTCTCGCGGTCGCGCATATTGAAGAAACTCAAGGTCAAACGCAGTGGGTGGATATTCCAAGCGTATCGCAAGTCGAACCATTTTGAAATTAGACATTTGTCATAATACGATTCTATGTCCATCAGGCTGTGCCTGGATCGACTGTCTAACGTTGTTGAAACCCCTTTCATCAAGAAGTCGCCGACAGGCCTCCTGCAACGAAGGTTACCCCTTGATCGCAGCACCCCACTTAGGTGATGTGGCCGACGTCCACTGATGGACCCAAGGTTCGCGCGTTTCGCTTCATACCCTCCCCAGCATATATATATATATATATATATATATATATATATATGTATATATATATATACACACATACACAGTTGTTTATACATATATGTATGTATATATGTACGTGAGCCCGATGGGCTTCCCTGTGGTCTTTTTGGGGGAATGTGCTTCCCAACGACAACAAGGGTCTGCGCGGGCCACACCAGCAATGCTTCGACGCTGTTGAGGAGGTTCGCCAGTGCACCGAGGCCCGCAGTAGGGAGCCTTTCGAGATCCCCAGGGGATATCCTATCCTCACCAACCCCGTCTTATATTTCATACCTCTGAGTGCAATTTGAAGATCACAATGGTTAGCGGAACGGTATTAGGATTTGCCCGAAAAGGTACTTCGGGCGACCTTCACAACCGAGTCGATGGCTGCCTCTCTTTATCCGTGACCTCGGGAGCCCACAGAATTAACCATCGCCGAGATTCAACAACCATGGCATTTTTCGGGTGAGATACCAGGGTCCCCTGGTCGATGCGCTCGAGAGGAGGCATAGGATCTTGTCGAGTCGGCTTGTGCAACGTACCCAATGCTTCGGAAGCCGACGCCTTCCTTCGAAATTCCTTGAGCGACTCGGCCTTCGCTCTCCGTTGGCTGCGATTGACGATCTTGCTTGTCGGCAAGAGCTCAGAACTTGGACAATGTATCGAGAGACATCTCGGAAACAGCACCAAACAAGCGCAACCACTCAGACCACCCAGGCTCAAGTCCCTCACGAATGATTGTGTGAACCTGCTCTGAACGATCACCAACCACGCGAATGCACGCCTTCTCCAACTGCCTCTGCCAACTAAGCCCGTTGTTGCGACACGATACCTACGGGCTCCCTATAAGACCGTGTGGAGGCTAGTCCACCTGCTGGTTCTACTATCACGTATGGGGGGCCAACTTATATTTCTGACTACCTTGCACTCCGTGAGCGATAAAGGAAGTTCCGCCCGTGACGTGAGGTCGTTCTTCCTGGCGATGGGCCAGGATAGTTACTTCTAGTGTAGTGACCCGAGACGCATGCATCCCACCGATGACCTGGCAACCTGTGGGGCGGGCCGTGTAGACCGCAGACTTCTCGATGTAAGTGGGGAGGGAAGAGGGGCAAAATCATGCTCAACCTCACCCGTATGTGGGCTAATTAGTGGACTGGGCCGAATCACAGATTTGTTGTTGAGTAATTAGACTGACTAGGATTTCCGCAACGCCCCCAGGGAACCCCGCGGGAGGGGCCGACGCCTCCCCCCTAAAGCTTCCGCAGACCGCCGATCATACGCCAAGGGGGGGCCGACGTCTTCCCTTTCCATCGTGTCCGTACTCGGGCGAAGTAGCGGCTTCGCCACTCCGGCCTCCCCGGGGAGCGCGGTGCTTTGCCGCCAGACAGTCGGCTGGGCGCCCGCGAGGAGAAAGCGTGCTTCGCTGGCCGCCGTCGCTACAGTCGCCACATCCCAGGGTTCGAGTCTCTGAGCCGCATTGCCTGCTCTCGCAGGCTGGTCGAAACCAACGTCAAAATCAGATGCCCAAGGGTCTTCCTCCGATCAGAATGACTGCACCTCGCCGTCTTCCCCGACGTCGGCGTTGTCACTGATGCGGTTTGGGAAGGTCTTGCAGGTGGCAGAGGTGAGAGCAGACAAGCATTCACTGAACAACCCCTATGTTTGTTCCTTGCGCCTGACTGCATCCTCCGGTCTTGCAGCGTTGCGCTGGGCACGAGCTCGACTAGACCTCGAGCCAACTGTCGGCTCCGTGTCCCGTCTCGCCATCCGCGGAAGCTTCGCCGCCATCGCCAAGGTACGAGTTAAGAGTTGTGCTCCAGACTGCCTGAGCTGCATGGCCAGCCCGATGTAAGTCTTCCACGGTGCCGAGAATACTAGCGCGACCGACTTCACATGCGCCAGCGCTGTAGTTCTGCACATGACGTAGTCGATGGTCGAACTTGCAGCAATCGAGTCACATGAATATTGCGCATCTGGAGTCAAGACATGGTCTCCCACATGGTCTCCCCCATATGGAGCCAAGACATGGTAGACTTCGCGATGGCCGAAGCTCCGAAATTGAAGTCACTTACCATAATCCATGGGAGTGGTAATGCATGCAACATGGCACCGAGGCGCTTGGCAACATGCATGCAACATGGCACCGAGGCATGGTGTTGATGCCGTAGGAACAAACAAGAGCCACTGCATACCCAGACATTTGAATGACAACTGACATCATTCCATCCAGAGTGCGGCCTTCTCATGCTCGTACCACGTGTGTGCTGCAGTCGGATTCAAGGCTCCCTACCCGAAGGTGACCAGCACTGACGATCCATTCACCTCCTTCGATGACATTCGCTTCACGACTAGCGGCAACAGGCTTGGCATGACGATCCTCTCGCGCTGGATTCGCGTGGAGGCGTAGTCCCTCACGCCGACGCGTTTTGTCCCATTGTCGAAAGGCACGCCGAGCAACGTGCGTTTCAGCCACTGCCATGACTGGAAACTGAGACTTCAGTCGTACTAGCTAAGTTCAAACTCTGTCGCCCATGCATGTGACATTGCCGAAGAGAATGGATGTGCTCGGCTCGTCCGCATCAGTAGTAGGATCTTGATCCGCTGAAGATGCTCCCGTTGACAAGGAGCCTGTTGCCGTCGAATTGGGAGCCGTATTTTGTGAATCAGTACCGGGGTAAGAACTCGATGGTGCTCCACCCGTCGAAGCATGGTTCGTCGGCAACATGGAAGTAGGTAATGAAGGGGAAGGGGTAGGCGAGCTCGAAACTTGCGTCATGGACTCCCTGGGCTGCTGCGCCAAAGCCGTAGGAGTCGACGCGGACGATCACATAGATGCGAAGCATTTGCTGGCGGCCTTGGCTGACCCTGCGGCACGGCCCTTCCCGTTCTGCACCTTCACGGTTGCGGCGGCGGCGAATTTGGCTTCGAAGATGTTTGCGCCTCAGTCCGCGCCGCCGCCTCGTGAGCCTCCTCTGCCGCTGTGGCACCACCGTCAGCGCTGCCAGCAGAGACGCTGCTGGTTGGGGCCCCCCCTGCCGCGGCCCCAGCTGCCGCCTCGGGGCCCTCAGTGCTGACGGCAGCGACTGCCGCCGCATTGACTGCGCCCTCTCACGCCTCACTTGTATCATCTGCGCCAATCTGAGTGCGCCGCTTCTTCCTTGGGCGATCCTTAACCTGCTTGCGGACCTCAGCTGCAGGTTGTAGACATCCTCGGATCTCGGCCTCGCGACCCGACAGCGTCTCTATGGCCGCTTTCAGCTCCGTCTCGAGATTGATCATGGTGTCCTTCTCGGTCTGCTCGAGTTCGGCGACGCCAGCGAAGATGGACTCATCCCACTGCAAATTCAAGATCTGCTTATCATCAGATTTGCCATTCTCGTCCTGAGACTGCTCTGGCGTTGCTGCTGCTACGGCAAAAATGACTGCTGCCTTCTGCTCCTGTTTCTTCTGCAAATGCTAAGGACTCCCGAAGGCGTATCACTGACCGCACGTCCTGGTCATGCTTGACCTCTGCATCGCGCCACGATGCATCTGCCTTGCGCACCTCCTCTACTGCTGACTCCTGCGCCTGTGGACTCTCCGCGCCTCTAGCTTGGTCAGCTCCGCCTGGAGAACTGCTTTGACTGAAGGGTCATCGGTGGCATTGATAGCCTTGGCCAGGTGGGCCTCGGCTGACGTGCCCGCAGTGTTGTCGCTTTTCAAGGTTGATTGGCCTGCACCTGCTTGTGTCACCAACTTGTTTTCTCCGCTCCCCTGGAAACCAACGTGCTTCGGACTTGGAACGACCATTGTGCAATTGAATTTGCGGATGGCAGCGAGAACATTGTCCACAGTTGCGCTCTAACATAGCATTCCACTTGCGTCCCGCACCCGTGGTACCGTTTCCACGGCCTCTGTGCTAACCCTGACATGTCCGGCTGCCCTGGTTGTCCAGACCTTCTCTGTGCATCGCTGTTTCTCTGCTCGCGCACGTTTTTCGGCAGCCTCACAGACCCATGTCCGTCGCCGAGAGAGAGAGAGAGGGGGAGCAAACCAGGAGAACGCGAGAATGAGAGAGAGGTGCGGGTGGTTTTAGTCACTTTTCCACCTTTACCCTTCTAGTCACTTCTGTTGTGCACGCGCTGATCGTCTTGTCTGCTGTCGTCTGGTCAGCCCGAGCGTTCAGATGCGGCGATCGCTTCGATCAGCGTCGGGGTTAGCGAGACAGGATGGACGAGGAGGAGGAGGGCGCCACGGTCGCTTGCTCCCGCACGAGCAAACAGTCGGAAGGCCTCGTGGGCAGAAGCCACCCAAGGCAGCATCGCCGCCGTGAAGCACATGTTCGCGAGCATGCAGGCAGCTTGGGGGCTCTCTGCGGCCGCCCCGCAAGGGTGTGGCCACCCCCCTCCCTCCTGGGGGGGCCGGCCAGTCTCGCCCGCGGTCGGTTTCGCCCGGCGGTGCGCTTTGTCGCCCGCCCGCTTTCGACATCGCCTCACCACAGCGTGCGAGCCTCGTTCGGTCGAACACACGCTCTTGTGCACCCCTGTACGAACAGCACTGCGCAGCCCTCACGCCTGGACAATCCCAGATGGCCCACCCTCTGCACGACTTCCTGGGGTCCGGGGTCTCGTAGAGGTAGGGTCATCCCAAGGTGGGGCTAGGGAACGAACCCAGCTGGATGCTCACATTTCCTTTTTCAGGCGCCGGTTCGAGCAATTGTTCTCACAACCCCACATCTGCCCCCACCCCATCTTTGCGCCCCCATGATCAGGAGCCTGCCACCGCCAGCAGTGTTCGCGGAATTATGCATGTTCTGAGCGAGAGTTCCGCCTCCGCTTCCCCCCCCTTCGGCGGCCTTTCCCCTCCTCGCGCCTCCCATTCTCTGTCCGCGTCCCGGTCTGCGGCTCCGACCGCGCTGAGCCTCCGCCAGCGCTGCGACTACAACAGCCGTTGTTTGCCCGAGGTCAGTTTCGTGGGGTCGGTTTCGCCGAGGTCGGTTTCGCCCAGTCGGTTTCGCGAGGTTGGTTGCGCCCGCGATCGGTTTCGCCTGGCCAGTTTCGCTCTGTCGGTTTTGCACGCTGCTGACTTTGCAGTCGTCGTTCGTCGTAGTGGTCGTTCGTTCGGCGAAACCGTCTCACGCCCCCCATCCACTTGCCCTCCCCTCGGGGGCAGGGAACCGCTGACCAACTTCACAATGATGCAGCCAGGACGCTGCAGTAATGATCCCCTTGGGTTCAGGAGGGTCTCTGGCTTCAGGGTGGAGAGCGGCCCAAGACGACCCAACCCGGCCCCAAGACGGTCCCGAGATTGCCCCAGGGACACCCAAGACGGCTCCAGACGACCCCCAGACGGCCCCGGACCGCCCCAAGACGGTCCGAAAGGCACCCAAGACAGCCCAAGACGGCTTCAGCAGTCCCCCAGGAGGCCGAAAAGAAGCGCCGAGGGCCTTCCGGACGGTCCCGAGAGGCCCCAACATGACGGGCCAAGGGGCACCCAAAACAGCACCAAAAACAATGTACCCACGTTCCTGGACAGGCTGATCCAGCCACTCTGAAAACAGCGCACTTTACTCTCGTATCTGGACAGGCTAATCAAACCAACGCAATGTATTCACGTCTCTGGACAGGCTGATCCAGCTATTCTCAAAACATCCCAATGTATCAACATCTCTGGACAGGCGGATCAAATCCCTTTTAAAAAGAACGCAGATTTCCACATGTCTGGACAGGCTGATCACCCCCTCTGGAAACATCACAATGTGACCACGTTTCTGGACAGGCTGATGCAGCCACTCTGAAAACAACGCTAGGTATCCGCTTTTCTGAATAGGCTGATGCTGCCACTCTGGGCCCCTCTTGGGCCGTCTTGGGGCCCTCTTGGGCCGCTCTTGGGCTCGGGCTGTCTTGGGGCTCCCTTGGCTGGTCTTGGGCTCGACGGCTCCTCTTGGGCCGTCTTGGGCTGGTGCTGCTGCTGCTGCTGCTGCTGCTGGTGCTGCTTCTGAGGATGCTTGTGCTGCTGCTGGTATTGCTGCTGGTGGTATTGGTTTTGATGCTGTCGCTGCTGGTGCTGCTTGTAGTGCTGCTGGTTCTGCTGTTGGTGCTGCTTCTGATGATGCTGCTGGTGAGATGTCTGACGATGCTGGTGCTAATGCTGCTGGTGCTGCCGCGGCTGCTGGTGGTTGTGCAGCTGCTGGTGTTGCTGTGCTGGTATTGCTGCCGGTGCTGCTGGTGTTGGTGCTGCTGATGGTGTTCCTGATGAGCTGCTGGTGCTGGTGCTGCTGGGTCTGCTGCTGCTGGTGCTGGCGCGGCTGCTGGTGCTGCCGCTGCTGCTGTTGCTGGTGCTGGTGCTGCTGGTACTTTTGTTGGTGGTGATTTTGCTGTTGCTGCTGCTTTTGATGCTGGTGTTGCTGCCAGTTGGTGCTGTTGTTGTTGCTGGTGCTGTTGCTGGTGTTCATGCTGTTGGTGTTGCTGTTTGTGCTGCTGCTGGTGTTGCTGTTGGTGGTTCTGTTGCTGGTTGTGCTGCTGCTGCTGCTGGCGCTGCTTGTGCTAGTACTCGCTCGGGATCCTCTGGGAGCCCGTTTGGGGCCTTCTTGGAAGGTCTTGAGTTCCTCTGGGGGGTCCTCTTTCCCTTTTTTAGCTCCCCCTTCCCTCGTTGTTTCTGTTTTTTTGTTATTGCTTTTTTTTTTTTTTTCCTTCTCTCTCTATATATCGGAGGTGAGGGGGTGAGATCGAAGTGGAACGGAGAGCCCCCCTACCGGGAAATCGATTTCGGTTTCGTGTTCGTGCGTGCCGTGCGTGCGGGCGAGGCGAAGCTGCGTGGGCGGGCAAGAGAAAGTCTCCTGTGGCTGAGGCGCGGCCGGACCAAATGATTCTCCACCGGGCGGCCGGTGGCGCGCGGTGTCCCGCCGGTGTCCCGCTGGTGTCCCGTCGGTTCTCCTGTGGCTGAGGCGCGGCCGGACCAAATGTTTCCCTTCCGGGCGGCCGGTGGCGCGCGGTGTCCCGCCGGTGTCCCGCTGGTGTCCCGTCGGTGTCCCGGTGTCGGTGTCCCGTTGATGATGTGGATGATTATTATGATATGATGATGATGATGATGATGATGATGATGATGATGATGATGATGATGATGATGATGATGATGATGATGATGGTGATGGTGATGGTGATGGTGATGGTGATGGTGATGGTGATGGTGATGGTGATGGTGATGGTGATGATGATGGTGATGGTGATGGTGATGATGGTGATGATGGTGATGATGATGCGCGAGCTCGAAAGAGGAAGGGAAACAATTACGATGTTGCCCATTGCTGGGCCCCTCCCCCCCAACCTAGACCGAATGAGAGTTCGACTGTGAGACCGAATGTGAGATCGATTGCGAGATCGATTGTGATATCGATAGTGAGATCGACTGTGCGATCGATAATGAGATCGATTGTGAGATCGATAGTGAGACCGAATGTGAAACCGAATGTGAGATCGACAGTGAGATCGATTGTGAGATCGATAGTGAGATCGACAGTGAGACCGAATGTGAGACCGAATGTGAGATCGACTGTGAGATCGATTGTGAGATCGATAGTGAGATCGATACCGAGATCGATAGTGATATCGATAATGAGACCGAATGTGAGATCGATAGCGAGATCGATTGAGTGAGACGTTGGTTCCCCCTCCCCCCTCACCTCCTTATCACCCGCAGGGTGGTCGTATAGGTATAGGTTATATATCGTTTTTTTTCTCTATCTCTCTCTCTCTCTCTCTCGCTTTCTCTCGCTTTTTTCGCTCCGCTCCTTGCTGGTGCATTCTCCCTTCGCTCGTCTTTCTCCCCTTCCATGCCCTCCTTTCTCTTTCCTTTCCCCTCTCCCGCCCCTCGCTCTTTTCCGCCCTCCTCGCACGCTCGCCGCGCCCCAGCCTTCCGCCCGCGCTCTGGCCCTGCCCCCCGTCATCGCTCATGGCTCCCGCCGCGGAGCCACGCCTGGTTGTGTTCCGGGCGCGGAATCGTCGGGGGCCCCCCAAAACGGAGGTCCCAGGACAGTGGGGATCTCCGACCTGGCGCGGGGTCGGAGTGGGGTCTGGGCGCGGAATCGTCGGGCGAGGGGTCCCAGGAACGGAGGCCCAGAACGGTGGAGATGTCCAATAATTTGGTGGGGGGTCTGGTTGGGATCCAGGCGCGGAATTGCACGATAAGGTGTCCCAGGTCCCAGGGCGGTGAAAAGTCCACCCTGGCGGGTGTCGGGGTGGGTCCCGGGCGCGGAATCGTCGGGTGAGGGGTCCCAAGGAAAGGGAGGTCCCCAGACGGTAGGGATGTCCGATTTGGTGCGGGGTCGGGGTGGGGTCCGCGCGCGGAATCGTCGGGTGATAGGTCCCAAAAACGGAGGTCCCAGGACGGAGGGAATGTCCAACGGCGCGGAATCATCGGGCGAGGGATCGCAAGAACGGAGGTCTTGGGACGATGGCGATGTCCAATTTGGCGCGGGTTTGAGGAGGGTTCAGGGTGCGGAGTCGTCGGGTGGGGAGTCCCTAGAACGGAGATCCCAGGACGGCGGCGTTTCCCAGTCTGGCGGAGGGTCGGGGCGGGTTCCTGGCGCGGAATCGTCGGGTTGGGGGCCGCCAAATCCCAGGACGGTGGGGATCTCCAACCTGGCGGGGGGTCGGCTTGGGTTCCGGGCGCGGAATCGTCGGGTGAGGGGTTCCAAGAACGGGATCCCAGGACAGAGGAAATGTCCAACTCGGTGAGAGGTCTGGGTTGGTTCCAGGCGCGGAATCGTCGGCGAGGGGTCCCAAGAACGAAGGTTCCAGGACGGTGGGGATGTCCAACCTGGCGCGGGGGTCGGGGCGGGTTGGGGGCGCGGAATCGTCGGGTGAGGGGTCCCATGATCGGGAGGTTCAGGACGGTGGGGATCTCCAACCTGGCGGGGGCTCGGCTTGGGTTCCGGGCGCGGAATCGTCGGGTGAGGGGTTCCAAGAACGGGATCCCAGGACAGAGGAAATGTCCAACTCGGTGAGAGGTCTGGGTTGGTTCCAGGCGCGGAATCGTCGGCGAGGGGTCCCAAGAACGAAGGTTCCAGGACGGTGGGGATGTCCAACCTGGCGCGGGGGTCGGGGCGGGTTGGGGGCGCGGAATCGTCGGGTGAGGGATCCAAGAACGAAGGTCCCAGGACGGTGGGGACGTCCGGCTTGGGGGGCTTGGGGCGCGTTCTGGCCGAGGAATCATCGAGAAGCCCCCGCCAGATTGGACCCCACCCCGACCTCCCACCATGATTTCGCGAGGGGGGTTCGGGGTGGGGTCTGGGCGCGGAATCGTCGTGTGAGGGGTTCCACGACTGGGATGGATCCCACCAAGAGCGGGGGTCCCAATAACGGGGGTAGCAGACGGTGGGGATGTCCAAGTTGGTGGGCGGTCGGGGTGGATTCTGGGCGCCGCATCGTCGGGTGAGGGGCCCCAAGAACGGAGGTCCTGGGACGGTGGTGATGGCCAACCTGGTGGGGGGTCGGGGTGGGTGCCTTGCGCGGAATCCTCGGTGTGGGTTGGACATGCCCACCGTCCAAGAACCTCCGTTCTAGAACAGAGGTCCCAGGACGGTGGGGATGTCCGACCTGGCAGGGGGTCGGGGTGGGTCCCGGGCGCGGAGAATTATCGGTGAGGGGTCCCAAGGAAACGGAGGTCCCCAGACGGAGGGGATTTCCGGCCTGGTGCGGGGTCGGAGTGGGTTCCGCGCACGGAATCGTCGTGTGAGGACTCCGAAGAACGGAGGCCCAGGACGGTGAGATGTCCAGTTTGGTGGGGGGTCAGGGTGGGTTCTGGACGCGGAAACGTCGGGTGAGGGGTCCCAAGTGCGGAGGTCCCAGGACGGTGGGGGATCGTCGGGTGAGGGGTCCCGAGAAAGGAGGTCCCAGGACGGTGGGGATGTCAAACCTGGTGGGCGGTCGGGGTTGGTTCTGGGCGGGAATCGCCGGGTGAGGGTCCCAAAACGGAGGTCCCAGGACGGTCGACGATCGGGATGTCCAACCTGGTGGGCGGCCGGATTGGGTTCCGGGCGGGTCCCTGGAACCGAGGTCCTTGGACGGTGGGGATGTTCAACATGGCGGGGGGGGGGGTCGGGGGGGGGTTCTGGGCGCGAATGGTCGGGTGAGGAGCTCCATGCAAGAACGGACATCCCAGGACGGTGGCGTTTCCCAGCCTGGCGGGGGGTCGGGGCTGATTCTGGGCGCGGAATCGTCGGGTGGGGGGTCCCAGGAACGGAGGTTCCAGGATGGTGGATATGTCCTTTTCGGTGAGGGGTCGGGGCGGGTTCCGCGCTCGGTGAGGGCTCCGAATAACGGATGTCCCAGGACGGTGGGGATGTCTAACCTGGCGGTGGTCAGGGTGGGTTCCGGGCGCGGAATCGTCGGGTGACGGGTCCCAAGAATGGAAGTCCTGGACGGTGGGGATGTCCAATTTGGCGGGAACCTGACGCGCAGTCGTCGGGTGAGGGATCCCAATAACAGAAGCGTCAAGACGATGGGGATTTCCAACCTGGGGCGGGCGTTCGGGGTGGGGTCTGGGCGCGGAACCGTCGGATGAGGAGTCCCAAGAACGGAGATCCCAGGACGGTGTGAGGTTAAACCTGGCGGGCGGTCGGGGTGGGTCCCGGGCGCGGAATCTCGCGGGGTCCCAAAGAAACGAAGGTCTCCGGACGGTGGGGATGTCCGACCTGGTGCGGGGTCAGGGTGGTTCCTGGCGCAGAAGAGGGGTCCCAAGAACGGAGATCTTGGGACGGTGGGGATGTCGAACCTGTTGTGCGGTCGGGGTGGGTTCTAGGCGCGGAAACGTCGGGTGAGAGGTCCCAAGAACGGAGGTCCCAGGACGGTGGGGATGTCCAACCTGGCGGGCGGGCGGGGTGGGTTCCAGGCGCGGAATCGTCGGGTGAGGGGTCCCATGATCGGGAGGTTCAGGGCGGTGGGGATGTCCAACCTGGCGGGGGGTCGGGGCGGGGTCCAGGCGCAGAATCGTTGGGTGAGGAGTCCCAAAAATGGAATCCCAGGACGGTGGTGATGTCCTGCCTTGTGGGCGGTCGGGGTGGGTTCCGCGCGCGGAATCGCCAGGTCAGAGGTCCTAAGAACGAAGGTCCTGGGATGGTTGGGATGTCCAACCTGGTGTGGGGTCGGGGTGGGTTCCGGGCGCGGAATCGTCGGGTGAGGGGTCCCAAGAACGGTGGGGATGTCCAACCTTGTGGGTGGTCGGGGTGGGTTTCGGGCGCGGAATCGTCGGGTGAGGGTCCCCAAGGACGGAGGTCCCAGGACGGTGGGATTGTCCAACCTGGTGGGGGGTCCGGATGGGTTCCCGGCGCGGAATCGTCGGGTGAGGGGCCCCGAGGTCCCCAGACAATGAGATGTCCAACCTGGCAGCGTGCCGGGGTGAGTTCTAGGCGCGGAATCGTCGGGTGAGGGGTCCCAAGAACGGTGGTCCTGGGACGGTAGGGATGTCTAACCTGGCGGGGGTCGGGGTGGGTTCCGGGCGCGGAATCGCCGGGTGAGGGGTCCCGAGAACGGAGGTCCCAGGACGGTGGGGATGTTCAACTTGGGGGGGGTCGGGGTGGGTTCTGGGCGCGGAAATCGCCGGTTGAGGCGTCTCAAGAACAGAAGTCCCAGGACGGTGGGGATGTCCAACCTGGTTGGGAGTCGGGGTGGGTTCCGGGAGTGGATTCGTCGGATGAGGAACCAAAGAACGGAGGTCCCAGGACGGTGGGGATGTCCACTCTTGTGGGGGTCGGGGTGGGTTCTGGGCGCAAATGGTCGGGTGAGGAACCAAAAAACGGAGGTCTTGGGACTGTGGGGATGTCCAACCTGATGGGGGGTCGGGGTGGGTTCCAGGCGCGGAATCTCGCATGGTGGAGGTCGGGGTGAAGAGCTGATCGCACACGCCTCTGGGATCGGCGGATATGCATCGGCCAGAGTTTTAGCAGCCGACCCGCGCGTGGCAACCGTTTTTGCGACCACGCTGCCAACTCTCCCCCCTCGGTTTCTTTTATTTCTGCCCGCGTTCTCTGTTCACTTGGCTCGTGATGTGAACGTCATGCGCGCGAGCTTCACGGCCAACACATGTTCATGATTGAAACATCGCAGTCAGTCGTGACAAGACAAACACATTTCGTTTCTGAGCTGGTGTCCCTAATGTAGCACGATTGCAGTCATGTTCCTAGTGAGGGATTGCCCTTCCCGAAGACCACCAACCCAACCAGTATCCCCTCCTTCCGAGCTTGGAATGAATTTCACATTTCCTTGTTATGTTTTTTCTTGCATCCACTTCCTGGGCTGGATATGTCCTTCAAGGGCTTCGCCCTGACTTTGGATTCCGAACAGACCAGGCTGATCTGAGTTGGCATCGGCAGTGCTCCTGACACAGTCCAGAAGACAGATGTTGGCCTATTTATGTGTCTTTCTTCCAGATCGCCCCGCGATGCGAAGGCCTCAAAGGCACTTTCCCTAATCTCACCATGATTCCCCGCAACTGCTCCCATGAGTCGAGGGAGTATGATGGAGAGGAGGATTGGGATGATAGGATGCAGAAGGATGGGGCGACACGACAGCAGAAAGGAGGTCTCCTTCCCGCGAGGACTCCGAGTACATCAACATGCGCTGGATTCTGACAGCTCCAGGCCCTATATCCGAAGCCGACATTGACCTTGCGTCGACTTGCCCCGAAGACCAGAAGGTCCGGCTGGGCCACGGGCCACGGCGCAAGCACTCTCCCGCTGATTCATCACGGAGGAGTAATCCCGTTGTGCGGTCACTCATACCCACCGCATTGGTGTTGGACGTGGGCTCGGGGTCTGTATGGGGAATGGGATGGTGGCGGATGACTTGGTCGGGGGGAGAGATGTTCTCTCGTCTTCGCGTCCTTTTGCGACAGAGGGTCATTAATTCTAGACGCTTCGCGTATCCCCACCAACGCTCGCTGATGCTCACGTCCTACATTGGGCACGCAATTCGGCTCGTGGCAGTCGGTTCACTTGGCTTCGGCCACCCTGGTATTCTCGCGGTTCCGTGGGTGCCTACGCCCCTGCACTCAATTCACTCGCAGCCTGCAGACCCTGGCAGCCGACCACCCTGGCAGCCAGCTTATCTTTGCAGCGCGTTGCATGCGTGCACCCTGGCAGTGTAGCTTCCCAGCAGTTGCCGTCAGCCCCCTTCCACTCGCTGGCCTGGCCGCCGAGGTGCCGCGTGAGGCTTCGGCCCACCGCTTTGGGTTAATTCGTCTGCGCGCGGCCCGCTCTGACTGGACTCGCCGCTGGCGCTCTCGCCTGCGGCCGCTGACTAAAAGCATCCCCACCAACGCTTCGGCGTGTTCGGCCTGTCAGCGTCGATTTCGCCGTTTGAGCATCAGCTTATTTCGCTCTTGCGCGTTAATGTGTCCGCTGCTCGTTAGCCGCGTGGCGACTTGACGCCGAGGGATTTGTCGTCGCGATCGAAGAAGTATCCCCACCAGCCCGTCCAGAAACGATGTCCCGGCGAGTTGAGGTGACCAGGGAAGTGCGGGAGCAAAGGGGTGGACGGCCGAACCGTGCGAAGAAGGGAGGAGGAGAAGGAGGTGGCTGGATGGATGGACGAGGGAGTGGGGAGAAGTAAGCTGAAGATGGTGATGATGATGATGATGATGATGATGATGATGGTGATGGTGATGATGATGATGATGATGATGATGATGATGATGATGATGATGATGATGATGATGATGATGATGATGATGATGATGATGATGATAATGATGATGATGATCATGATGATGATGCGGATGACGCTGGTGATGCTGAGGAGGAGGAGGAGGTGGAGGAGAAGGAGTAGGAGGAGGAGGAAGGAGGACCAGGAGGAGGGAAGGCAAGCAACAGGGCCAGAGGTTTCTTGGATGCCTTTCGGAACCTCTTACGGGTATCTCTTGGGCGCTTCTTGGAGGCCTCTTGGGACGTTTTGGGGGTCTCTCGGCGGTCCTGGGGGGCTCTTGGGCGTCTTGGGTGCCTCGGAGGAGCCTCTTGGGGCCGTTTGGGGGCCTACTGGGGGCCTCTCGGGCCATGTTGGGGCCATCATGGGGCCTCTTGGGGCCTCCAGGGCGCCTCTTGGGACCATCTTAGAGGAGATCGATCAAATAAGGGGGAGCTTTGGTTAGCCCCCCCCCTCGGGAACACCCCAGACCACTTCTGGGGCCCTTGTTGGAGCGCTTTCGGGGCGCTCTTGGGCGCTCTTGGGGCCGTTTTGGGGCTCTCTGGGGATTCTCTTCAGGCCCCCATTGGCCTTTTTGGAGCTGTCTGGAGGCTTCGGAAGGCCATCCGAAGCGAAAAGGCGAGACGGCAACATTCATTGATTCCCGTAGGTGTTTGAAGGATGTTTGCTTCTTGGCGGCCTGACGGGGGAGGCAGCACGCGCACGGATAATTCCAGCGCTTGAAGTCCCAAAAACCATTACCAGGTTTCGACGAAGATTTTTCAAAATTTGATGACGTGGCGGACACGCCAGCTTCGGGCGGCCACGTCCACGAGGAGGAACGACCTCCAACGCCGGCCGCTCTTGACGGCAGGTTACCTACCATTAATGAAGAATCAGGAACGGACCTAGAAGCACGCATCATGGAAACGTGGTGTGTCGAACCTCAAGAGGAAAAGGAACTGCTCGAGACGCCCTCATCGGAGTCCTTGTGCTTTCTGTGCCCACTGAGATGGTTACAGACAACCGCGCGCTCGTGGCTGCGGCCAGTGTAGAGCAAGGACACTTGCGAGAGGTAGCCTATGCTCGGAACCACGACGCCGACAAAACCTTCATGGTACCATGGGCCGCAGATGACGACGACACTTACGATCTCGACCTGGACGAATACGGCCAGTATGTCGAGTTAGCTTCGCTGCTGACGTGGCCAACGTTGTTATGTCAGAGCACGCTGCAGAACGACCTATTCGCTGCAGCGCGTGTGCATGTTTCAGCCGCAGCTAAAACAGCTATGGTCGCCGAAGAAGACGACCTCCTGACGAAGGCAGAAATCCAGGCCATGTCGACAAAGTCTTGTACTGAACTTAAGAGTGGGCGCGACAGCGCGTGCTTTTAAATGCAGGAAGCCAAAATTGCTACCAACACCATGACATTTAGGTGCATGCGCACGTGGAAGTGTGCCAGGAACGACAAGGGCGAGATGGAACGAACCGTGCGATTACGCATTGCCCTTCGTGGGGTGATGGACATCGAAGCATTCCACGTGGAAACCTTCCCAGGCGCCGCTCGTCGAGCAAGCCAGAGACTGCTTGCAAGCGCGGCCGCGCGCGCGAAACAATGGTTCATGGCATCCACGGGTATCGAGGCTTCCTTGAGAGGCCTGACCTAACATGATCTGGCAGAGGCCGCTGGAGAGAACGAACGCGCGGTTTGCTTTACCTTTCCGCCTGGTTCAACCTCGGCGCTACGATTGCTGCCCAGCTTCTCGCCCCGTGGCGAATCAATGTGCTGTCTGCAGCGCCTGAGGCCAGGCGCAGGCGCCAAGGATGCCCCTATAGCAGTCTTAGTAAAGCTCAGGACTTCCACGCGAGGCCACGGGTTTAAACCCACCTCGCACGATGGAGAATTTGATTTCGTAACAGCCAAGCGCGTCAATGACAGAAGCATGGCAGGAGCGGAGGACACTATGGACACTCTGTCAATTTGAGAAGAACCTACTTTCGGCGCATGCAAACTGAACGGACGCAGCTATACCAACCTGCGCCGCGCGCCGCGCTATGACCGAGGACGGCCATGTCCAGCCAGATAATCATCAATTCATCAAACAGCTCCGTCGGATACAGCGCCCAGAACTCCGGCGCGTTCATCAGTTGACGTGGCGCCTTGGCGCATGCTGTGATCATTCGGGCGCGGTCAATGACGCGCGCGGCATCCTTGCAGCGAGCGCGGGAACCCGCGAACCTCCAAGCACGCAGGCTCAACGCTTCCACGCGCGAGCTCTGGCCCAAAGAAACCGCGTGGGCATGCGGCCCCGTCAGGAAAAGTGGATTTTCGCAGTGGCTCCGGAAATCGCCGCCTCAACGGGGGCGAAGAGGACGATGTAAAGGGATGTGGCATCCGTGGGGCCAACTTTTCATTGCGCGGACACGCGCCTGACAGCTAGGCTGCCGTGCATCTGATCGACGCGCGCTGCGCGTCGCATCGGGCGCAGGTGCGTTCCGATGATGGCGGCAGCTCGTAATTTTGAGGGCCGCCACTCCACCATAGTTTCGCAGCGCGAGATTAAAACTGGACCCCCGACGCCCGCTCAACTGAAGATCATTTTAGAGTTGGGTGGCCCCATCGGGGCCGTCGTTGCCATGGGCGCCGGGTCGGTCTTTACATCGTTGTCAAGTGAGGACTCGAAGGAACCGACTAAATGCACCCTGCTGGGACATATCAGCTGGATATGACAGATGATGGACCGAGGTATCGTTCATAGCACGCAGTTGTGTGATGCACGGGGCATGACCTCATCTGGACGTACTCAATGGCGCATCGATCGGGCGGTACTGCTGCAACTCATGGGAGGCAATCAGTCCTTCAAGTATGAGGTGAAGAGGTACATGCCTCATCGAGGTAACCAAGAGACAGCACCAACGTATGGGTGCCCTACTTGGGGCTATCGAATAGGTATGGGGATGACTGTCCAAATATATGCACGTAGTCACCATTACCTGGCCGCGCGCATACATACTTACAGGTCGCAACTCTTCCGGGCACGGGGACTTACCTTTCTTGTTGGATTGGGTTTGACCGTTTTGTTCAGATACCCATCGCGCGTCGCACGTTTTGACGTTTGGCTACTGGCCGGGCGTCCACCCCGAATTATCTGTGGGTAGTCACGTGGTCTTGCCCGCTGCCCTCGCTATTCTGCGGCTGGTCGTGTGGTTAAGCCCTGGCCATGCTGTCCTTTCTGCGTTTCGAATGTGTATTGCTAGCGTTTTGAAATGGAAGACAATATCTCAATTCATCTCCTTTACTGGATAGAATTAACTTAGGGGGTGGATCTAGCGTTCGGTCCGCCCCCTCCCGACTTTTAACAAGGTCCTATACAAGGTTTGAGTTTGAGCTGTATAGATAACGGTATATCCGCTGCGATCCTGGCTCAAGGTAGTGCAGCCTTATTTGCTATCTACACGACAGCGTAACTCTACTGGTTCATTACGTCAGACAAACGCCACGTTTATCAATGACTCACCCCTACCTCTGATGGCTTGTCTCGTATTCCTCATCTTTCTTGCCATCGAAGGATGAGTTATGAGATGTTTCGGTACGTCGCCGACGTTATCTTAAGAGGCCTGTCCTCAGCTTCTTTCTTCATGGTTCAGCCATCAGTCCTTGCTCGTCATTGAAAATTCCCCCGGAAGGGGTAGAAGGAGGGGTGGAAGAGGAAACGCTGTAAATCACCTGCGCCCAGAGGGCTGGTCGGATTTAGCGGTGTGGGGCACGCATCGGTGCATGCTGACTTCGAGTCGCTTGGGAACCGCATTAGCTGCAGATTTGGAGGGGCAGCACCAAATTCAATCACAGTGGGGCCCGAGAGAACCACAACCACAAACACACGCACGCACACACATCCTGTTGCAAACGCACACGCAGTTTCTGCGTAGCTGAATTCGGGGCGTGACAAACCAAATCAGGCTGAAGTAAGCCCAACCGGTCGCAGGTGCACCAGGCACGATGAGTCCTAAGTGTTCTCAGGAGCGAGCCGTCTTAAAGAGAGGGAAGAGGCAGCTGCGGACACATGCGCGCAAACATAATAGCCGCCATAGTTCTCGGCAGTAACCCTACTTTTCCAAAGTTGAATACACCATCGGGGAATCACGTTATGCCTCGTACGTGGAATCATACGGGTTGTAGCATGATTGGTCGTTTCGTATACATCAGATTCGTGTTCAGGCGCTTCTGTTATGGATCAAACATGCCACAGGAATGTGTTTGATGGGGTGCGCACGCAAATGCCCAAACACCATCCACACATACGCATCATCAGTCATCATCGCGCTCACTCTTTCTGTCTGCCCCAGCACGACCGACGTTTGTGACTGTGTGCTCACCAAAACAGTCGATAATCACAAGAGCACACGCGCACATCTCACCCGCTACACCCTCGGGGTCTCATACACTTATTTACATAATCTCTTGGCCGCTGGAGTAACATTGGCGACCGCGGCTATTGCATTGGATTCTGCAGCATGCGTTCATCAATTGCCGCTTCGGTTTATTTGTGTCCTGTCCCATCCTCCTTCGCATCAGCCCTCCTTTTTGGCATGCTAGCGTCTCATACACGTTTCTCTTTGTCCGTAAGGACTTGGGCCAGTCCCCCACACGTCTGAAGCATTTGCGTGCTGAGCGTGTTGCGCGTTGGGTGTGCAAGGACGTGCTGTGAGTACTGGGCCACTGCCTCTATTTGTGTACCCACTGCCCCTTGTAGCTCGTCGTTTCTGTGGCATCATCGTATTCATCGTCATCCACGTCCTCCCCTTCCTCCCAATGAGCACTCGATCTTACGCCATGGCAGGCACCAGCCCACACCCTTTTTTTCCCATTGCCATGTCCTCCAGAAACGTGCAGTCCGTCTGTTGCGGTCGAAGCAGGTCCTGGTTCTTGGGTTCAATTCGAGCGTGAGCGAGAAGGTCAAGTTCTTGGCCAAGAAGAAGGGCGTCGAGGTGCAGAACTTCGAGGCGGACCCGAGTAGGGTCTATTGGAGGGTGCGGTAGTGGTAAGATGAGGATGAGGCGGAGGTTGAAGACGAGGAGTGAAGTAGGACAATGATCGGGAAACTGAGGAGGAACACGAGTAGGCGGAGGAGGGGGAGGAGGAGGAGGAGGAGGAGGAGGAGGAGGAGGAGGAGGAGGAGGAGGCGTGTTTCTAGCATTCCACTCGCAGTGCCCCGCTATCCTCATTGCGTCGCGGTCCCGCCGCAGCCATCTAAAGGCTTGACCCGTTGAGGCGACTTAGGTGAATGTTGGTTAGCCCCGAAACTCGTAGCGCCCTGAACAATAACAAGCATATCATCACCAGCCACGAGCACTACTGCGCTACTGATCGGGAGCGAGTTGATAGACACATCGTCATTTCAGAATTTGGCATGTTATCGGCTAACATCTATTCTGAAGGCCTTACGGCCGGTGCCGCCGACCCTGGAATTGGATCCCAATGATGAGGGTGACAGCCAGAGGTGTTTGGGAAGGTTGGGCCCAGACGCCCCGAAGAGTGCCCCTGAAGGCCCATGAGGTTTCCAAGAAGCGTATGACGAGTAGCACAGCTTGGCCGTTATCTGCACATGTGCTCTCGCAGACGCGGGGGGGGGGGAAGAGGTCGGAAATCAGGAGAGGGAGGAGGAGGCGGAGGAGGAGGATGAGGAAGAGGAGGAGGAGGGGGAGGAGGAGAAGGAGGAGGAGGAGGAGGAGGAGGAGGCGCAGGAGGGGGAGGAGGAGTTGCAGGGGAGGAGCAGGAGGAAGAGCCCAAAGAAGAAGATAACAGGGTGCGGTGGAGGAGGAGGAGGAGGAGGAGAAGGAGTAGCAGGCCTCTTGGGAGCCTTGTCAGGGCTCTGGGAGCCTCCTCAGGCTTCATGGCAGCCTCTTGTCGTCATCCAGGACAGGCTTGGAGGTATATTAGGGCCACCTCGCCATCTTTGAGGGCATCTAGGATCGTCTTGGCGGCAATGCAGCGCCATCCTGACCATCTGGGAGGCGAGCCTGGTCGTCTCTTGGAGACTTCTGGGGGTGCCCTCTGGGTACCCTCTTGGGGCGTTCGGGTTACTTCAGGCGCCTCTTGGATTATGTGATGGACCATGGCCCATCCAGCCGCCATTCCTGCGTATGATCGTTACTCTTGGGAACTCCCTGGGAACTCTCTTGGAACTCTCTCAGGGCTCTCTTGGAGGCTTCTTGGAGCTCTCTCCGGGCTCTCGAAGAGTTCCAAGAGGCTTGAAGACGGGCCCCAAATGGCCCCAAGATGATCTAAACAGCTGGCGAGGTCTTGCTTGGAATTCAGGGCTTGCCTGGAAGGCAGTGAGGGCCCGCTCGGGGCTCTTGCGGCGCTCGGGCGATTGCAGGCCCCTCTTGGATTATCGAAGACGCCTACGGCGAATCACCGCCGCCCCCTGCCTTTTTGGAAGCGCCTGCGTGGCCGAAATTTGGGTTTGAGCTTGGCCAAGCTATCCTGCCATGCGTTCCCCGAGTGGGTTTCGAAAGCTTTCGGGGAACACGGGGTCGGGCGAGCTATCGGACCAGGTGCTTTCCGAGCTTTCGGGTTTCCTGGAGGACGTCTTGGAGGGCTCTTGGGCCGTCTTGGAGGCCTATTGTGGGCCGTTTGGGCAGTCTTAGGCTATCTTGAGGCCATCTTGGGCAGTCTTGGGTGCATCTTGGGGCCATCTTGGCCGTCTGGGAGACCATATTGGCAGTCTTGGAGGCATCTTGGAGGTCATCTGGGCCGTCTGGAGGCCATTTTAACAATTTCGGGCCTTCCTGGAGGACGCCTTGAAGGACTCCTGGGCCGTCTTGGAGCCCTCTTGCGGGCCTTTTGGGCAGTCGAAGGCCATCTTGAGGCCATCTCGGGCTGTCTTGGGTGCATCGTTGGGCCATCTTGGCCATCTTGGAGGCCTTTTTGGCCGTCTTGGAGGCATCTTGGAGGGGATGTTGGCAGTCTTGGAGGCCATCTTGGGCGTCTTGGGGGCCTCTTGGCCTCTTCTTGGGGCCCTCTTGGAGGCCTCTTGGGCTGTCATGGGGCCATCTTGGAGGCCTCTTGGGCGCTCTTGGGGCGATGTTGGGGGCCTCTTGGGCCGTCTTGGGCCGTCGGAGTGCTGATAAGAAGACAGAGCCAACATCCTTCAAACGCCGACGAAGTCTTGGACGCCGTCTTGGACGACGTCTTGGATGCCGTCTTGGGGGCCTCTTGGGCTGTCATGGGGCCATCTTGGAGGCCTCTTGGGCGCTCTTTGGCCGATGTTGGGGGCCGCTTGGGCCATCTTGGGCCGTCAGAGGGCTGAAAAGGAGCAACAGTCACAATCCTTGAAACACCTAAGACAATTCAATTATGTTGACCTTTTCGGGACTTCCTGGAGGACGTCTTGGAGGGCTCTTGTGCCGCCTTGGAGGCCTCGTGCGGGCCTGTAGGGCCGCCTTAGGCCATCTTGAGGCCATCTTGGGCCGCCTTGGGTACATCCTCGGGCCATCTTAGCCGTCTTGACTGCCATCTTGAGCGTCTTGGAGGCATCGTGGAGGCCATATTGGCCGTCTTGGAGGCTATCTTGGGCCTCTTAGGGGCCTCTTGGGCCATCTTTGGGCCTTCTTGGGGCCCTCTGGGGGGCCTCTTGGGCTGTCATGGGGCCATCTTGGAGGCCTCTTGGGCGCTCTTGGGGCGATGTTGGGGGCCTCTTGGGCCGTCTTTGGCCGTAGCAGAGCTGAATAGGAGCAACAGCCAAAATCCTTCCACAAATCGGGCCGCGCATGCCGCGACGGGCCCAGGCCCGACGCCCGCCGCTTGGGGCAGCCTCGCGCCACGCCTGCGTGCAGCAGACAGGGTGGAGGGCGGGAGAAGGAACGCGCGCCAGGGTGGCGCCCGCCGCGCGCGCGCTCGCGCGCGCGCGGCGCCTTCCCAATTTACAATACGCCTGCGAAGCGAGCGCCGCGGGGGGCCAGCGCAGCCTTTCCCCGCGGCGCGCAGTGCCTGAGACAATGGTACCTGCGAAACGCGTGCGCCGCGGGGGTGCAGCGACGACCCCCCCCGCGGCGGCCCCTCCCTGGCGCGCGACGGCGCGATGACCCGCGCCTGCGCAACGCGGCCACGGTCGCGTGCGCGCGCAAACGTGGCCGATTTGTGCCCGCGTGCAACGAACGGTGGGCCTCCGCGTCTACGAGCCTCGATGCACCGCTGTGCGCCTACCGCAAATCGGGCCGCGCGTGCAGGGCCTCGACCCCGCCTGCTGCCGCCGTCGGTGAGTGCAGCGCGGTGCGAGGCTGGCCCCTTCTGGGCGGCTGCGACGGGCCCAGGCCCGACGCCCGCCGCTTGGGGCAGCCTCGCGCCACGCCTGCGTGCAGGACCCAATGCCACACGGCACGCAGGCGACACGGGCAGGCGACGCGCGCACACCCGCGGCCGATCGCGCGGGGGCAGAGCACGTTCGCCGGCGCGCGCACACACCCACGCCCAGGACCGAGCGTGGCGGCGGTGGCCGCCGGCGCCTAACCGGCACCGTTGTCTGAATCAGACCCGAGCATCTGCACCTGGCGCGTGCAGAGCGCCGTGGCGCGGGCGGCGGTCACGTGGCTCCGCCTCCACGACCGCGCCCCTCTCCAGATCGTCGCGGTTGAGATACGCCATGGAGGCGCAGGGCCGCCATTCTCCAGCCGCGAGGATCTCGGCGAGCGTCGCGCCCGCCTCCTGCAGGTCCTTAGCGCGGCCCCTGCGGAGGTCGCGTAGCCGAAACAGGCCCGCTTCCTGGGCGCCGAGGGCTCGCGAGCATCTCGCGCAGGGCACGCAGCGCGGCGGCCGCCGAGATGCCTTCAAAAAGCCCGCAGCCCGGCGCGCGCCGCGCCAACCGGGGGCCCAGGGTATGCACGGGGCACGTGGCGCGGCACGATGCGCACCAGCACCTCCGCGTCAAGCGACTGCCTTGTGCCTTGTTCTTCCGCCGACGCAGCAGCAGCGTGAGCTCCGCTGCGCCCAGCACGAGCGCCGCTTGAAAGGGCGGCGCGTCGATCGTCCACGCGCGCGGCCGGCGACGCCTCGCTGGGGGCCCTCAGCAGAAACGCATAGGCGAGAAGGAAAAGCATCGAGGCGCGGAGCCACTCGGGGCGGCGCGCGCCCAAGCCGCGACTGCGCACTTTCGGATGAATAAGCGCGGGCGCGGAATCCAATCACTCCGCGCCCGAACGGCGGCGCGCGCACGCCTGGCCTCAGGGCCGTCGAAAACGGCGACGCAGGCCCCTGCCAGGAGACGCCCGACTCTGACGTAGCCGCAATAGTTCGCGCATGTCGCGCCGCAGCGAAATAGAGCGCCCCGGGCGACTAAGGACTAAGACCGCGCTGGATGGCGGCAGCTGCATGCACGGGCATTGCAACACCCTGACGCAGTAAGCTGCTCAGCACTTGAAGCCGCTTCTCACGCTCGGGGGCGGCCGCGCGCATGGCTGCAGCATGGCGCGAGCGCGTTCGACCTCTCGCCAACGGGCCGCGTCTGCAGGACCGCGGAGGCGCGCGGCGGCCTCGGCGAGCGCCGCCCGGGGCCCGCGCGCCACGGGCGGCGCGACCGGCGCGGCCAGGCGGTCGATGATGCCGGGGGTCGGCGCCTCGCGAGCCACGGTGCGCGGGAGACTTGCGAATGCGCGGGGCAAACGACGCGCGCCTGCGGCGGCGGAGAAAAACGCGGAACAACGGGCGCCGCGCTTGCTGCTGGCGACCATCTGCGGCCGGCCGCGCGCCCGCCAGCTGCCGCGCCTGCGCAGCGAATGCGACTGCGGGGCCCGCGCAGCAAGAGGGGTATGCAGAGCCCCTGCGCGCAGCCCCACCTCGGCGCGCCGCCAGCTTCGCAGCCCTGAATAATTATGCAGGACCTCGACATTGACCTGCGCGGTGACTGTCCACCCTTCCAGGTCTGCGGTGTCCGCGCTGACGAGTTCGCAAGCGCGCAAAGCCGTTTTCGGCCAAGAAATCAGCCGCCCAGGCAGCGGCCGCCCTG